GCCTCTGAGGCCAACACTGCTGATATCTTCACCAAGGCACTTGCGCCTTGTGATCATCAGCGCTTCTGTACTCAGCTGGGTCTTGTGCCTGCCTTGCCTCACTTGCTCACCTCTTGACCTTGTTTGTACTGTTACATATATATATATACACCTGCTCTTGCTTGTCTAACCTTTTATATATATGTACTCCTGCATGTGAACTGGCCTTGTGGCCTCGAACTTGTGCTCGGAATGTGTGGTGACTTTGTGATCCACCCTGAGCTTGCTTTGCTTTGCTTGACTGGTCTTGTGACCCCTTGTTCTCCCCCACTTTGCCTATGGGGGTGTGTCAGATTTATATGACATAGCTACTGTAGGCTATAGTGGGGTAGCACATATGGGGTACAGCTTTCTAGGATTTGTACTAGTACCCAACTTTTTCTTAGTCATTTCCATTCTCGTTCTATTTTCCACAACTGGCAAGAAGCAGGTCGTTGACCGCAAACGGGCCTGCGAGTTGTGTTCTGACGTCACCAGGCCGTGGGGGCAGCAGCGGCGGCGAGAGCAAAGGGAGAGCGTGCTTGCAGCAATCAGCTGAGGACGCTGTGTCTCCTCAATGTCCGCCGTCGCTGCTGCACGAAATGAAGCACGAGGAATCCCAGAAGCAGCAACAACCACAGCTATCGCAACAGCAGCAGATGAAGACGAGCAATCAAGTCACCAGCTCTGAGGCAGCCACAAGCCAAGCCCCCACCGAGGACGTTCCGGAGGACAAGGACTCGTGCCAGTCCAAGCCTGCAGCTCGTGCCGCCGTTGTCAGCGCTCGTGGCACACCCGCTGTGCCTGTAGGCGGGCCTCGAGGCGGGCAGACATCAAAGCAGGCGAGCACAACCGCACGCCAACCTCAACGTCTTGCTGCTGCCGCTGCTAACCAGCTCCAACTGGTGCGATCAGAAGGCTGCCTGCCCTCCACGCATCCTTCGGTATCCGGCGTGCCATGTAAAGGGGCGAGAGGGAGAGTACTTGCCGCAGCTCCTGCTGCCACCCGTGGTGCTGCTGCTCGCGCCCGCGCTGGTGGGCGGGGAGCGGGGCGTGGGCGTGGCATGGGCAAAACGGTAAGAGCGTGTTCCTATCCTCGTATCAAGATAACCTCGTATCAGACTCACACTGAAAATTCCCCTAAACCCAAACCTCTCGCTAGTTTTACCAGGCAAAAACAGCATTCTTGATACGAGGTTTCCTGATATAGAGGCCGTAGGAACACGCTCTAAATTAGCCATTTATGCCATTTTACACTATAAAATTCTTAGTTTTTCCTGTTTTTTTTTCCAAAAAAATACTGAAAAATCAGCCCTGGTTCTAAACGAAGTCTGAAATCTCAGCCTTTTTTTACCTAAATCAGCCTTTTTTTGCTTACTTCTGAGGCCCTGTGTCTCACTACAGCCTACAAACATATTTACCATTTTGACACGGTGTGCTAGGATGACGGGTTAGGATCAACGGGCTAGGAATGGCGGGCTAGGAACAACGGGTCACAAATAGCGGGCTAGGAGCAACCCAAACCTCTAAACGATCCATGCCAATAAAAGGTATAGTGGGTTGGCTGACAGGGCGCGCTGGTACGGTATAGAGAGAGATGCCATGGTCTGAAGGCGCATCGCGGAGAAGCGTAATTAGGAAATTTTCCAACACGCGCTAGGATGGGCAAATGTGAAAAATTCCATGTATTTAGGCTAAGCGAAGATAACGTGTTACCATTTTTGGAACTTCCAATCTGTCGCATAAACAAATTATAAGTTTTTTCTTATATTAAATCAAATTATATTACAGTCGCTTGTAGCTTTGCACAAGCTGAAAATCAGCCCATCTATCAGCCCACCTATAATCAGCCCACCAGAAGAGAACAAAGGAACCAACATTCCCGTCGGTCTACGGAAAACCAACGGGGTACTCAACAGGGCTGAGCTTCTTGGCGTGGCGGTAAGTGGTGTGGGAGCAGTCGACAGCGAGGACGGAGCTCGTCTCATACGACCGCGCGTTGCCGTCGAGGAAGCCCTCGCCCTCAGCGCCGTCGGCGGAGATGGGGCGGTGCAGCGACGCGATCATCTTCTGGAAGTCCGCGGCCCTCTGCGCGTGGTCCTCGCGGTACGTCTGGCCCAGCACGCCATGGATCTCGTCCGTGTGCGACAGCTCCACAATGCCCACGTTGATGTGCGCCTCCGCCTCGGTCGGCGTCTGCAGCTTCGGGTTCGCCACGCGCAGCCGCATGTCGAGCGTCACCAGCCCCTCGATGTCCAGCGTGTAGTAGTCCACGTCATACGGGCCCTCCTTCTCCAGCGCCTTGAACGTCAGCGTCAGCCCGCCCACTGACGTCACCACGTCGCCCACGCGCATGCGCGGAATCGCCTCGCCGTCGATCTCGATCGCCTTCATGAACCCCGACCCGCGCTCCTGCTGCTTGCCGCTGCGCGCCGCGAGCCGGATCTTGTGATCCACGCCGTCGGCGAGCCACACGATGCCCAGCTCCTTGATCCACGTGTGCACGGCCTTGCCGTCCACAACCAGCGCCGCGTTCTCAGTGTCGTCGCTGTAGTACCCGCGCAGCAGCATGTTCACGTGCAGCTCGCGGTCCGTCAGCAGGCAGAATGCGGCGTCGGGGCGGCCGTTGAAGTCGAAGTGCGTGCCGTACGCGCCCACCAGATGCGGGTCGTTGACGATCTCCGACGCCGTATTGCACTCGCCGCCCGTGCGCACCTGCAGGTGGAGGGGCTTCGTCTCCGTCGCGTATTGCGCGATGATCTCGCCGCACGTGTAGTCGATATCGTCCTTCACCATAAAGCACGCGCCGTCTGTCTTCTTTTTGTCGAGCGTGATGTCGGGAATGTACTGCCAGTACGTGCACCCCTTGGTCGACGCGCACGTGTTGCAGCACGTCTGAGGGGACGCCTTCTTAACCGTCAGCGGGTTACCCTTCACGTACACCTCCACACCGATCTTGTTCTTGAGCAGGTTTGACGTCTTCCACTTGGCGGGAATGCCGCCCTTGCTGCAGTTGGCGGGCGTGCACGCGCCGGCGTGAGGCTTCAGCTCCGCGTGGCACTTCATCTTGTTCCACCCGGCCGTCTTAGCGTCCGCGAACAGCATCGAGTCGGTTGCCGTCGACACCACGGTAACACCCGTCGCGTCGCCCGCCGTAGCTTGCTTCACGATGGCAGGGCTCACATCTGAGACGGTCCCGTAAGGGTCCTCCGCCTTCTCCTTCTCCGCGTTCACCGGCTTGTTGTTCGACGAATTGAACGGGTCGCCGGCGCTCGCTGTCAACACCAGCGCCGCCAGGCACAGAGCCAGCACTGCTTGCTTCGCCATGCCTGCGCTGAGCATACGCTGTCGGAAAGCGAAGCCTGAAAGAAGTCAAAGTACCCTGAACTTGATATGCTTACACTAACTCGCTTTGTGAAGTTGTGGATTTTGGCGGCGCTTTGTAGTCGCGGAAAGGCCCCATGCAGTGTGAACTGTGGGCGAACTGGATCGAGAGAGTGACTGTCAAGTCAAGAGCTCGTCGAGGCGCATACAGAAGATCCTGAAGAACTGTGGGTTTGGGCTCCGTGGACTGCGCAAACATTTGTGGCGGGAGGAACCTGAACAAAAAGAGATCGGATCGCATGTTACCACATACATATTCAGGGTGGCTCCCGAAGGCTCAGCTGTTTTATGGTGCCTTGGTTAGACTGGGAATGCAAAGGAGTGGGAGGGAATGTCCTGGTGGCGCTTGGAAGGAAACAACCTGGTGTATGCCGAAATATTTAGCGCAAATGATGCTGCGGACCTTGCTCACTGTACTTCCTGGGGCATACCACTACAGGCGTTAAATATATCCGATTGAAAGGCACTCGATTTTGTGGATGGATGCAATTAGCTTCTTGGCCCCGATTTGATGCACCTGGAAATCATAGTGGCGAAAAAAAAATGACAAACTGTATCCTTTGCCGCACATCTTCGGAACTTGATTCCCCCTTGACGGTTTGCATGCCCCTTCGAAAGGGAATGTGGCACGCCAGACAGTTGGATAGCAGCAGCAACCCGTGTCACTGCTGATGAACCCAAACGACGCTCGTCGTGCGCCGTCACGAAACACGACACACGACTGCTGGTACGCGAAAACGAGTTGGCGAATTGTACAGCCCAGAAAATTGCTTGTGGCGAATGGGCGAACATGAGAATGAGTCACCTGCTGCCAGCACCTCTTCGCTTGCGTCGTATAAGAGGCACGTGGCGAATGCCGACCAGGATGCGCTTCGTGTAGCCGAACCGCATCATTGTATGTGGGTGGAATGGGGAATGCCACGAACCCAAGCACTGTCTGTATGCTCCACACAACAGCAGCACAGCACTGCATCAGTCGCAAAAAGCGTCCTTGCTTCCCCTGCCTTCTGGAAATCAATGCCCACAAAAAGGCGAAGCGCGACGTTCGGACTGATCAAAAATATCTCCAACCACCCCGCGAGAGCGCGCTCATCAGAATCTTTTGCCTCCCTCACTTTGGCCACAAATTGTTTGACCTTGCGTCTGAACACCGCACGCAACGCCTCACGCCAGTAGGAGCAATGATGTGCGGGTGGGACGAATACTCGTTGTTAGGGTCCTTCTGTTGCTGATGTTTGCCGACTGTTATGACGCTCTCGCGCTTGCTTTTGAGTTTGCAAAATCGGCATTGGCTCAATCATGGTGGGAGGCTCGAGCAGTGACCATTTCAGACCGTCTAAGGCTGCCAGAGTTTCAGTAGAGCTAGTTCTACTAAAAAGGAACGGGAACCCCAAGCAGCAGCGACTGCTAAGCACCGTCTCATCGTTCGTCGATTCTTCCTCTCGAGAACGTAGTACTTCTCATCGACCTCGCATTGCGTCTCCACTCAGGCTTGTTTGGCCTAACATAGACTTAAGTTCCTCTCAATCGCTTCACAACTTCCAGTAGTACTAGAATCTAACACTAGTGGAATCTAGGATATCATCGCTGCCGGCGCCATGATCCAGACGGGCTCGTCCGCGGCAGCCGCGGAGTCCACGCGCGCAAGAGCTCCGCGGGAGTTCTTCTGCCCGCTGTCGGGGCGCGTCATGCTGGACCCGGTCATCGTCGCGTCGGGCTGCACCTACGAGCGCGCGCACATCCTGCAGTGGCTGCGCGCGCCGGGTCCGCAGGCGGCAACCTGCCCCGCGACTGGCGCAGCGCTGCCCCACGCGCAGATCGTGCCGAACATAGCGCTAAAAGAGCTCATCACCTCGTGGCTGGCGTCGCACGCCGCCAGCGGTAACACAACGATTACTACTAGCAGCGCCACCGTTGCGCTAGTGACTAGCGCCTCGGGTCGCAGCAGCAGTTTCAGCATCAGCGTCAGTCGCGGCGGGAACAGTCACGGCGCCGGCCATGGCGCGAACAGCCCCGGCGGCCGGCGCGGCGTGAGCTTTCAATCACCTCCCGCCTCTCTGGAAAAGTCCTCCACTGTTTCCTCTCCCCGCCGCTGCCCGTCTCCGTCGCTCCCCGATTCACCCACCAGCTCCGCCGCTTCCCCCTCTCCATCCCCCTCCTCCGCCTTCTCCCCCACAATCCGCCCCGCGGGGGATGCAGCGCCCACGCGCACCCCTTTTCCGCCTCTTCCTTTCCCGTCAAGGGCAAGTTGCCTTTTCTCCCCGTCCTCGTCTTCCTCTTCCGCCAGTACCTCCCCTCCACCGCTCTCCACCTCCTCACACACCTCACCTTCTTCCGCCGCCGCGTTCCCCCGCTCCACCTCCTCCTCCCCCGCCTTCGCTTCCTCCCCCCACGCTTGCCCCACTCCCTCCGCGGGCCTCAAATTTCTCCCTCCTGTTTCCGCCAGCCCTAGAAGCCGCGAGTCTGCCTTAAATTCCAACGGAAATCAGCAGAGCGGAAATTCCAATTGTCGAGTCCCTGCCGGGCGTAATCTCAACGCCCAATCCGCTTCAGCCGTAGCATCTGCCGTTAAGCCTACCGCACCTCCGGCCGGACAGCCGTCAGCTGTCCGCCAGCCGTCCAAGCTACTGGCAAGAAGCAGCTCGTTGACCGCAAACGGGCCTGCGAGTTGTGCTCTGACGTCACCAGGCCGTGGGGGCAGCAGCGGCGGCGAGAGCAAAGGGAGTGCGTGCTTGCAGCAATCAGCTGAGGACGCTGTGTCTCCTCAAGGTCCGCCGTCGCTGCTGCACGAAAGGAAGCACGAGGAAACCCAGAAGCAGCAACAACCACAGCTATCGCAACAGCAGCAGGCGAAGATGAGCAATCAAATCACCAGCTCTGAGGCAGCCACAAGCCAAGCCCCCACCGAGGGCGTTCCGGAGGACAAGGTCTCGTGCCAGTCCAAGCCTGCAGCTCGTGCTGCCGTTGTCAGCGCTCGTGGCACACCCGCTGTGCCTGCAGGCGGGCCTCGAGGCGGGCAGACATCAAAGCAGGCGAGCACAACCGCACGCCAACCTCTGCGTCTTGCTGCTGCCGCTACTAACCAGCTCCAACCGGTGCGATCAGAAGGCTGCCTGCCCTCCACGCATCCTTCGATATCCGGCGTGCCATGTGAAGGGGCGAGAGGGAGAGTACTTGCCGCAGCTCCTGCTGCCACCCGTGCTGCTGCTGCTACTCGTGGCCGCGCTGGCGGGCGGGGAGCGGGGCGTGGGCGTGGCATGGGCAGTGGCGGCGGGTGCAAGTCCCACGTGCAGCTGTCGCTGCAGGTTGGAGCTCCCTCTCCGGGCGTGTGGAGCATAGCAGGGGCATCGCCTGGTGCTGACGGCGCTGCAAGCAGAGCCGGGAGTGGTGCTAACATGGCAGCTCAGGCGGATGCAGCAGCAAGTGCAGGCAGCAGCAGCAGCACCCCGCGCGCACAAGGACAAGCTGCTGCAAAAGCAGGAGAGGAGGAGAAAGGTGGCCCAAGGGAGGAGGAAGTGAGCGGGAAGAACGCAGAGGGTGGATCGAAGGCTCCTCCAAAGGTGGATGACTCGCAGGGGGTTTGCGTGACAGGTAGTAGTCAGATGGTAGCTGCTGTGGAGAAGGCACAAGGGCAGGTGACTACGAGGCAGATGGGAGGCCAGGCTGCTGTGCAGCCCGCAGCGTTACGGGCAGACAACAAGCAGCCGGCAGGGCAGCCGAACGGATCGAAACAGCCCAAACAGTCGCAGCTACGTAAGGTAATGCTATCCAGCGGTTCACTTCAGCAGCAACAGCGGCCGCCGCCACCACTTGCCAGGCCTTCCTTTCTCCCGCCTCCACTCACCTGCCCCTCCCTCCCATCCTCTGCCCCTCGCCCACCGCCGCTACACACTCGGTCTACCAGCATCAGCACCCCGATGAGCATTCGCCCTCCTCTCTCTAAGGACCCTCTCTCTCCTTCTATCAAATACTCTCACTCCCTATCCCTGTCCCTTTCCCCACCCGACAAGAAGCTTTCGCACTACCAGGCAGCGAACGAGAGCAGTTTTGGTGGCAGCGGCAGGGGAGTGCGGCCGCTGGTGCTGGGTAAAGCCGGCCTCACTGCTAATGGCAATCTGCAGAGTGGGAAGGGAGGAGGAGGAGGGGTGAACGAGGAGGTGGTGGTGGTGGATTCTGAGCCGATGCAGCAGGGGAAAAGGGCCGCCGTGAACACGGGACGAGGCGATCAGGGAAGGGGTGTTGGTGGTGCAGCGTTTGTTGGCAGTGCTACAAACTTGGCCAGAGGATCATCAACAGCAGCAGCAACAGCAGCAGCAACAGCAACCGGAAACGGAGCGGGGAGATTGCTATCAGCCAGTACGAAAGTGACTCCATCCCACTGCACCCCGCACATGCTCAGCCGCAGCCTTTCTGCCCCTCTATCCGCCCTGCGTGCCATGCCCCCCAACGTCCCTCACCTGCACCCCTCCTGCCTGCCTCCATCCACGTCCTCCGACTATCTCCAGAACCAGCAGCACCACACTCACACCTACCGCAACAACCAGCACTCCAACCCACAGCAGCAGCAGCAGCAGCACCGGCGCTCCCCGTCTCAAGTCATCGTGACGTCCACATCGCCTGGTGCCAGGCCGCTCAGGCCGGGCGCACCCAGCCCCCGCAGCAACATCCAGGCGAGCAAGGCAGGACGGGTAAGAGCGGGTGAGGGTGCGGGCAGCGTCATGGAGCAGGGTGTGCTGAGTGTGCAGTGCAGGGCTGTGAGTGGGGGCGCGGGAGGAGGTGGGAGCGGGATCGGCGACCGGGACGGGGGCGAGGGGGGTTCAGTGGAGAGGCCCAAGGGTGGAGGAGGAGGAGGATCCCAGGCGAGGATGCTGCGGTCTTCACGCTCCTCCAACGCCCTGCTGCCGTCCCCCACTCCCGCGTCTCTCCTGCACAAGCGCTGCAGCCTGCCCGCCAGGAGCAACTCACTGGTGAAGCCTCTCCCCGGACTGCTGGAGGGAGTGGGTGCTGTGAGGAAGGGCACTGGAGCAGGGAGGAAGGAGGGGGGAAATGGTGGTGGTGCTGGCGGTGGTGATGATGGTGGAGTTGGTTTGGAAGGTGGTGGTGCTGATCGTAGCAGCGGCGGCGGCGGCAACTGTGGAAAGGTGAAGCTAGGGGAGAAAGGTGAACTGGAGGCAGAGGGGGAGGGTGAAGGGGAGGATACTGTGGGTGAGGAGAGGTTGGTGCATGATGGTGCACAGCAGCTGGTGGATTTGCTTTGGGTGAATCCACAACCATGGAAATAAAGGCTGCTGCTGTCAAGGCCTTGCTGCTGCTCATCATAGAGCATCGCAATGGCGGGTATGCAGCGTGGTGAGAAGAAACGAGAATGAATGAACTATGAATGAACTGAGTACAAGTACTAACCCTAATTGGGTTGAACCCCTTATGGGCTACCCCACTATAGCCTACACAATAAGCACAAGCTATATGTTCTGACACGTGGGAGTGTGGAGCCGTGCCCGCCCTGCTGTCACTGGCCAGGGGACACAGGGAGGCACTCAGGAAGCCGCACCCTCGCACAGTACAGAATATTTATGAGATGGCGGTTGATGCGAGTGGAGATGTGGGTGCTGAGGTGGGAGCAGCTGCCGAAATGTCAGCAGATATTGCTCGCATCCTGACATACCTGGTGGGAGATGTACCGTCGTGTGTTGAGGATACGATATTACATGGGGTGATAGAGGCAGGCATAGGTATGCTTGGGAGCAGAGTGCAGGGTATGGATGCACATGCAATGGGCCTGTTGAATTGCCTTTCACGCTGGCCACATGGGCGAAAGGCGATCGCTGACGTGGCAGGGAGTGCAGCAGCACTGGTGGAGGTGGTGGTGGGACCGTGTGTGCGGGCGAGAGGAGCAGCTGTGAAGGTGATGAGGGATCTTGTGGTCGGGGGATTCTTGTCTGCTGTTGCTCTGGTGGGCGAGGATGCATTGCCACCACTAGCAAGGATTACCCTTAGCGTGGGAGAGGGCCATTCTGATGAGGTGATCAAGAAAGGGGTTGACGAGAGGGAGCTGGTAAAAAATGCACGAGCCTTGCTTTTCTTGCTGAAGGAATCTGTCTGGCAAGGTGAAAATGATGCAAAAGACGACTCGTTCTAATATCATTGTCAATATTTTGTTGGCGTAACCTGAAGCAATATTTTGTTGTGTACAGTAAGAATAAATATGATACTATATATTTCTGGATATACAATGTTTGTGGTGGTTGAGCTATACTGTAAACTTCTCGCAAGCTTGGCAAGTCATTGCCTTCTCACGTGTCAGTTCACCGTTTCGCGTCTCAGAGATGACAGCAGCAGCAAATGCACCATGTGGTCCCAAATGGTGTTTTCTGGCATCCTAGCCATCTGTAATCAGTGCTAGTCCGAAACACCATGAATGCTTGCTCCAACATCACCTTGCTAGTTCATGGTTGCAAGGATGGTTTCCGGAACCTCTCACCTCCTATTTTAGCAACTGAAGTAGCTTGGTTGTTTCCTCGTCATGGTTTATAAGTCATGGCTAATCTGGCAGTCAAAACATTACCTGTCGTCACTGGTGCTGATTCAATCTTTTTTAAGGCCGTTCGTCGTATGAACAAGGCTCAAGACGGGGTAGCTTCTTAGCAGAATATAAGGCGGATCTGATTTTCTGCGACAAAGCAGCTTTGCAAACAGAGCGGCTGCATCCTTTTTTTCGGTGCTACAAGTGTTGTCTTTCCGTCTGCTTCCAAACGCCATCCCCATCTAAATTCGACGTACTTCTTTGTCCAGTTTGCAACTACAGTTTCGTCGAGAACTTCAACGCTGCTGACGCTGCTTCTCATCGATGTTCAGGAAGCTTATGTGGTTTCCTGGGACGAATTCTGAAAGATTTGATACGTCAAAAGAGGCCTCACTGCAGTGTGCTACGTCGGGTTCTGGCTACCAGCCGGCTGAAGAGTCAGAATTTGTTACTGACCTCAATACTAGCAGCGACGAGCGCACATGGGTGCTGCTGAATCAGAGGCTGCGGTAACACTTCAGGGACGAGCTTTATCTTCAGTGAATCAGAGACTAACATCTGATGTTGATTCTGGCGCTTCTCCAGGCGCGAATTCTCGCAGCTCCAACGTCTCGTTCATGGAAATTGATGAGCCTCTGGGGGCTTCTGAAAGAAATCTGAGGCGTTTTACTGGAGGGGGGAGCATTGCCAGACGAACAGATCGTGGAGGAGAATATCCTGTTGAGGAAGCTACCGAAACTGCTGCAGAATTTGAAGCTGCAGCACTCTTCAGGCGAAGTCACCTAAGATTGACTCAGAATCGTGTTTCTGATGTTGCTTCTCACGCATCTCGAGCTTCAAATCCTTCGGGCTCGGAACCCTCGTACACGTTTACAGATATTGAGACAACCTTGGGAGCTGCGGACAGGATTCTGAGGCGTTTCAATGCAGGTGGGAATTCTATCAGACAAGTTGAACTCGCAGATGATGGCATAGAGCGCGCCAATTTGCTTGGTGATGCAAGAGCAGCAGCAGTAGCGGTCTCACCACTATCACAAGAAGGACCAGCAACGAGGGTGTCTGCTTCCGGCATGATTCTCCCCAGTCAGACGGCATTTACTTCTGGAGACCCGAAAATGGCTGGTGTGACTGAAGCTAGGGATCCGAATCCAGCATTGGAAGAGGATCACGTGGAGGAAACGCTGGAGGTTCACAATGATGCAGCTGAGACGAATGAAGCTGTTGGTGGCAGTGAATGTGCTTGTAACGAAGGCACGAATGTATCGATGGTTATGACTGAACAGACTGAAGGCATTGCTTTTGAGGAAGAAGTCGAAGTGGTGGAGGCTAACTTGTCTCGAAACATGCAAGGAAACAATGTGACTGAAACGGGGGTTTCTGTTCAAGACCCGGAGAGTGGAGACGAAGATCGCGGAGCGGAGGATACCGAACATGACACGGGTGAAGATGATGGGGTTCAAGCAGAAATTCGCGACAGAGGCTTCATTATAAGCAATTTACAGCAGTTACGCCGACGGTTGTTGTCCATCAGAGTCGAACTAATCTTAATAATGGAGGGCGAATCGGAGCTCGATCAAGCCTTGCGGAACATGAGGAACACTCTATCTACTCTACATTCTCTGATAACGAGGCCAGAAGGAAACCCTCCAGCTTCTCAGTCTTCTGTTGCTGCCTTGCCTGCTGTCGTCGTGCTCTTGGAAGATGTGGAGAGTGGGGCTGCATGCTGTACCGTGTGCAATGAAGTAGCGGAAGTAGGAGAGGAGGTGGTGAGGCTGCCATGCAGGCACCTGTACCATGGGGCGTGCATCAGGCAGTGGCTTGGCGTGCGGAACACGTGTCCCATGTGCCGGTTTGAGCTGCCCACGGATGACATTGGGTATGAGGCGAGGACCGGGCTGATGACAGAACAACGAGCCCAGCGGCAGCAGGGATAGCAGTAGCAGCACGAACAGTAGCAGCAGGAACAGTAGCATCAACAGCAGTGGCAGAACAGCAGCAGGAGCAGCAGTAGCAGTAGCAGTAGCAGGAGCACTAGCAGTAGCAGTAGCAGTAGCAGTAGCAGTAGCAGTAGCAGAAGCAGTAGCAATAGCAGTAGCAGTAGCAGTGGCAGTGGCAGTAGCAGTAGCAGTAGCAGTAGCAGTAGCAGTGGCGGTAACAGTAGCAGTAGCAGTGGCAGTAGCAGCAGTAGCAGTAGCAGTGGCAGTTGCAGTTTCAGTGGAGTGGCAGTAGCAGTAGCGGTAGCAGTAGCAGCAGTATCAGTGGCAAATTAGTACCACTAATCACGTTCTACTGTCAATCCTTGCATCTCCCACCCACCATGCATATGCTATCCGCAATTTCTAATGCCCAAGTATCGCAACGTTTCCAGCTCCGTGAGATCCTCTGGCAGTCCTTGCAGCCGCACACTATCATGCAAGCTAAGACTGCACAGCCTGGACAACTGCGCAAACCCTGAAGGAAGGCAGCGCAGGCCGGTGTTTTCCACATGCAGCTGGTGGAGGCATGCAAGCTGGGTGAGGGAAGCAGGCAGGTGGTGCAGGGCGGGGCAGTCAAAGAGGTGCAGCTGGCGCAGGCGGGATGCAGCGCCAATGCTGTCCGGCAGCTCCCTCAATTCCCGCGCACAGTGGATCTGCAGAACCCTCAGCTCCGGCACAGCCCATCCCATGTCGCTTGGAAGCCGCTGCATCTTCCCCGCGTTCCACATGACCAGCGTGTGCAGCTGCGGGAGCAGCGCAAGGGAGAAGGGCAGCTCCACAGCCTCCTCCTGCAGCGCCAGCTCCACCTGCTTCACGCGCGCCAACCTGCTGCCCACAGCCATCCTCTCCTCCGCCCCAACCAGCTTCAAGGAGAGCTTTCTCAGCCAAGGCAGCACGGAGACGTCTGGCAGATCAGCCACGTGGTAGCTGTTTCCAAGACTCAAAACCTCAAGAGAGAGCGGCAGGCATGTAGGAGGCTGAGTCTGATCAGGGCATCCAGAAAGCTCCAGCCATTTGAGCCTCCCAAGGCTGTCTAGCCTCCTGGGAACCGAGATGAGCTTCACACAGTCATCAACCGTTAGGTTTTCAAGGCTCGAGAGGCTTGTCAGTGACTCTGGAAGCTTCCTGAGCAGAGGGCAGGAACGAATGTGCAACTCCTGCAGGTTTGCGAGGTTCCCCAAACTCTCAGGAAGCTCGCAAATCGTGCACCAGCTCAGTTCAAGCCTGGTCAACGAAGTCAACTGGGTGAAGGAGAGTGGCAGTCGCGGCCGCTGGTTATGACCGTTCAAATACAGAGTGTGCAGCCTTGAGAGCTCTCCAATGTTCCACGGAAGCCCCACCTGAGGCGTCTTCACAATGGCGAGAGTTTGGAGCGTAGTGAGGCGGCAAAAAGCTTCGGGCAGCTGGAGGGGCGCATGGCTGGTGGAACCGCATTGGATGAGCAGGAATGTCTCGAGAGAGGGCAGGTGGCAGAGGGAGTCTGGTAGGCTGCCTACGAGAGGCAGCTTGTGCAGCACGAGAGTCTTCAGGGCATGCATGCGGGAAATCTCGAACCACGGCAGGCTCTGAAGCCAGTTGCACTATGAAAGTATCAAACTCTTGAGGAGAGGTACAAGTGTGATAGGCAGTTCTGCGCTTCCAACATCACATCGCCAGAATCTCTGGCGAAGGGTGAGCTCGCGGAGCCTAGGTACCAGATCTCCGAATCGATAGGTCAGCAGTTCCGAGTCACGGCGCATGTAATCATTGATAATCTCCAGGCGTTCCAGGCTGGTGAGAGGATCAGTAATCGAGATCCTGTAACCGTGTTTTTTAAGTTGGAGCGGCGAAGCATGTGTGAGCGCGAGAGTGTGCAGATGCGGCAGCAGAAAGAAGGAAGCGGGGATTTCGACAGATGGGTCGAAGTCGTAGAGTGCAAGTGTCAGGATCGTTGACGCCTCAATCGACAAAAGTCTGCTTGCTATTGTCGATGACGTTCTCCTCGTTCTCACGATTCCAACGATATGCGCAGCAGTTAATTCTGAGAACGTTTCACTAAGTTTTCAATCTCACCAGTGCTTGTCTTGCACCTTCAAGCAAAGAATTTCCAAGTGTATTTTTCAACTGACTGGTACAACTAACTTATACTCATCCCAATGCACCCACGTAACTGAACCCAAAACGTGTTCCACAAGCAACCTCCCTTGTAACCAAACTTACCCCACACTCCAAGTTTCACGTCGCGTCGCACACGCAACCACGACTCCTTCGTCGAACACTCCCGAAGTCCGAATTTCAGAAACTTGTGAACCACGCCATCGTTTCAACCCAAACTCCTACCCCGTCAAACCAATTCCTTCACTTTCCCATCTCTATTCCCCCGTAACTTCCTTACGTTCCCATTTCTTCCTTACGTTTCTACTCCTTTCCCCTCAGCGTAGACCACACGCCAAGTAATCTTAGACGCTTCTTAGTAATTCCTTCTCGCTTCTTCCACACGTCACCGCCATAAGTCGCCGTAGGTCCGCATTTCTCGCCGTCGTTAGTGTGGTTCGTAGAAACCACTCCAACAGCAAGCTGCTCTAGCCGCGTGCTTTGCTGAAAGAAATTATCCAGGCCGGCGGTTGTAATAGGTTCCTCGTACTTCTCGACCTCCCTGTCAGAATAATTTCCAGAGTCCACAGGCGCCGCGATTCTGCGTCCGACGTGGAGGATGGCGAGGTTGGGAGCTGACGACGCGAGGTGAGCGAGGAAGGCGTCGTCGAGAGTCTCGACGCTGCCGTCGCAGAGGTGGAGATGGGTCAGGTTCGGTAAGGCAGCGACAGCACTCGTGAGAGCCTGGCGAGGCACGGCGAGATTGTCTCGGACGAGAAGCGCGGAGACGCAACGCTGAGTGAGACCGCGCCAGCGACGGCACATGGCCGCGACGAGGAGAATACGGTGCGCGTCCGCAGAGGGAGGAGGAATGGGTAACGGCGTCTTCTTTTCTTCACGAGTGACATTCTCGTTTGAAAGATTTGCAGAGAGGTACTTTGGGGCGGGACTCAAGCAATGGGAGTCCCACAAGCAATCGGCGGTGTCCGCTTTTCTAGGCATGGGCGGCTCGAAGCGCTAGAAGATTTGCGTGAGAACGTCGTCAGGTAGGTCATTGATGTGCGTGGGTGGCGCCATGGCAGCTGAGGCGAGATAGAATCTGTTTAAGCAATGAGCGTAGGAGATTGTAGGGTTGTCGATGTGTCACGGCCTTGCAACGAACTCCCATTGGTATTTGTAAGTAAGATGCTAGGCTGTGACTCACAGTGAGATATGGAACTCACGAGCTCAACCGGACGGGAGAGGACAAAATGAAACTCCGACCATGCGTGGGGTGGGGAGCACGGCGTGCGGCAAAACGGAGGTCGATCATCCTCTCGCAGAGCAAGCGTGTATGGTTTGCCAGCTGCCAGCCACACGGCACAAGAAAATGCAAAATCGGAAGGTCGCAAGAAAGAAGGAATAAGGTCAAAAAGGGTCAACGACCTTTGACACCTGCTGTGGGCGACTCGCGAGATATTTTGTGGCTGTGAAAGCACGCTTTTCTACAAGAACATGCTTGGTTGCCAAAACGCACTGGATACATTTTCAGGATAAGCCTATGTCGCTGGAGGAAACAGGGCTATGGCGCCATGTTACGACTGCGGTGTGTGAAGCTACTCAAAATTCTGTCGCGGATGCAGCTGCTCCTATCTTCCCTCAGAAAGTGGGGGTTGCCCCCAGCATTCAGCTCACGCAACTGCCTGCCATAGGAGGCTTTGGTGTACGGGGCACAGCTGCTAGGCAGCAACTTCTAACCAGGGCAATTTCTGCTCTCCCAACCCAACCCCACCACTCTCGGCAAATCAGATTTGGAGCCAAAGGACCAAGACTGAACATCCGTCACCAAAGTCCTGCACGGCAGCAATTTCGAACCAGGGTTTTCTCTGTTGGAACCCAACCTTTTTACAAGGCACGGCAGGGCAGGCTCGGAGCCAATTCTTCCAAGCTGAAGCAACAGATACAGAACCTGGAACCTACCGAGGCGTTTCTGCTAGAGTTGAAGTGTGGCAACGGCTAGTTAGATTTTGTGGCGGGCAAGTTGAAGTTTTTAGGCGTTTGGTCTATAAGCCTCCGTAGATTTCTGTGAGGGTACGGTATACACTACCTATGCCCTCTAGCTCCGGTTACGACCGACGGTGTTTTGCGTTGTACGTTGTATAATGCATTTCCACCTACAAAAAAAAAAAACAAGAGGCGACGAAATCGTCTTAGGGTTGCGAAGCAACACTGGTAACATGCGTTAAATTACGAACGAATTTGTTTGTGTTTTTTTCATTATGATATATTATGCGGTTATTTTATAAGTATATAATTCTTCGCGTTATTTGGTTTTGTGATTATTTGAGGTTCCACAAAAAATATTGATGGTGTGTAAATTGATGAGGCTGCGGAATAATTATCTATAATAAAGTTTAACAAGATAAATAGTTGTGTAGTTGTTTTTTTATGTTTCAGTTATCAATTGTTTTCACAAGAGATCATGTTGCTGCCAGTTTCAAGTGTGTTGCGAGGCTGACGTCAGCAGTGTCGCTTCAAAATTTCGCGGAAAAAGAGAGGCATGACTGCTGACGTCAGTCGCAATTTCTCGCGCGCGAAATTTTGGGCGACGCTGCTGACGTCAGCCCGCAATTTCGTCGCGCGAATCTGATCTGTTTCTAGAAAAGTCAATTTCGTATTTTCTGCCAATTTGCCGCATTGCTCGTTTTGTTTCTTTCTGTCCTGGGGGTAGATCTGTTTTGGCGCATGTGTAGGACGTTTTCTTTCTTCCTGTCCTGAGCGATAAACAGCTGGCTTTTGAAGATTCTATGCTGCAGCAATGCACGCGGATTCTGGGATGTTGTCGCACGTGAATGGAAATCGGAATGTTTTTGTCAGAATTCGAAATCTTCAATGTTGTCAGTATT